TTTATTAGTTTACCCCTTATAACTAATTAGAACTTCTACGAAAATCTGATCACATGCCAGTGACGACAATTTTTGATGCATAACTGTGATTTTCTTTTGATAGAATCACAATGCTTGTCTTGCTTTTTCTATCAATAAAAACTTTCTTCTTAGGTAGAAAATAGATTCTTTATAATACATGATGGGCTTTTGGGTGAAAAATGGTGACTGCACCGTTAGAATGGCGTAACAGCTAATGGTGCGGGAGATTAGGAAGACGGCTTGCCTTTTGCCGTTGGCGGAAAGCCGCCTCAATGACGCGATTTATCGCGGCAACAGTTGGTACGAATCCAGCAACTATCACCACAGTTCAACTTTAGCTAGTCGTTAATAGTCTCGTGTTTAGGTGTTTGGTGTTAAGTCTTCCTCAGCCAATGTCCTTAAACAGTTTAGAAGTTTCATAAGTAAAAACTCTTCATAGCCCTACAGTAGTCAGCATAAACTCTGTCCAGCTCATCAGCATTTACGTGTTTATAAATGCAGTGTCCTATAGTTGAAGTCACTGTTGTGAAAAGTGCAAGCCTCCAGAATCCCATCTGAAACACGGTGAGTGCGGTGCTGGTTCATTCAGATTATAGCGGAGCACTTTTGCGGTCAACAAGTTGCCAGTTTGTGGCAGACAGGCTAATGCGATAACAGCGATACATAGCTAGATACCATGAATATCGGCGCTTCATCTTATCTGATGGTTTTATGGCTAGTGTTCTTCAGCTGTCACCTTCTCACCGGCACGTCGTGTTTTTATATCTGCTCCGTAATTCGCAAAGGAACCTAAATCCAGGCAAACTTATCAAATTTCATTTATTGCTTTCCTTTTTATCTACAACTCGATCCGTTTATCTGAGCATACTTTTCTCATTTCTGTACTTTTGTTCCACTTTCACCGATTTTCTTTTCACGTAACGTATTTTACGTATAAGTAGGAATGAAGAAAATCGATTCCGGAGCCGTCTTTTTATTCCATCATCATTTACTCTACTTTGCTCATTGCCTTTGTCGAACGAATTCACTCCTATTAAATCGGTGTCAACGTTTTCCTATTAACTCACATTACATACAACTCGCTGACTACTGTATTTCCTACGGGACCAGTGTCCATTTGGCTGAAGCTGCTTATCACACGACGAGATTCACTGCGATTCATTAATTGGTTCACTGACTACGGTATGATTTGCTGAATTTGATGAGAATTGCCATGATAAATCTAAATTCGACGTAATTTTTCATTCTAATAAATCTATTCACTTTTAACAGAATTTACTCCGTTGTAAGTAGTAATTTTTGGAATGGAAGAGAAATCGAATCTCTTTTGTCTGCAGTTGGATAAGTCAATGTTCACAGAGAGATTTTCGCAAGAAATAAAAGATCACTACTTCTATTCGGTGACTTGCAGTGTTTTCTTTGCAGAACTGTCATCTAAAGATGCTATATATCGTCCACCCTCCAACACTTGAATGACAAACGGTTGTCGTCGCGCCATTATCCGTGATAAGCGTCGCCAATTGGCGCCAGCTCCCCGGCCACGCCCATCGTTTAGTGCCCACCCTGTCGTCGATTGGCTGCGGCCGCCCCATGGCTTCCCGCCCACCATCTTCATGCGCGTGAGCTAAGTCACTTAGTATTTCGTGTAGTTGTCTATCTTGCAAACGCATCTCTGATTATCAACGATGATATCGTAATCAGCGTTTATCGCCGTTGATCTACATTGCCGCCCTTTTTCACTATTGTTTTTCATCTTTATCATTATCATCACAATCCGCGCAACGGCCATTCTTTGTGCTTATCGCATATCATCTCATTATCTCACAAATATCCCGAAAATTAGCACATTTTTGAGAGATTTTTCAATAATTCCATCCTGCCTGTTGTTTTTTAGTTCCATAAATGTGTGGTGCTTTTGGAAGGGAGATTCCGCGACAAACAACGACGGCGATGATAAATAGATGAGAGGCGTCGTCGTCGCCATTGATACTCATGCACCTTCCACCGATACTGACGTCGCCTCGCTTTATTCTCAACAACTTTCATTGCTCTCATAGCGCTTGATTTTCAGTTAAGAGTTGTGTAATGTTTTCGTCGTTCACAACGACATACAGCTCATGTTTGACATTTTTTTCGACTTATGATTGGAATCTTCGCCCATTTGATCACGACCACCGTCACTATTACAGCCATTTTGCAAATATCTCATTTCTCTTTCTGCTTTGGATTCGCTGAAATGATAACGATTCAGATGACGACAGTCTTTAAAGACTATGCAGAATCACTAGCAGCACCGTCAATGTATCATCATTCGATGGCGCTTGAGGTCGATCAGAATGTTCCTGTCTCCGAAATGATCATGAACGACACTCAAGATATTAACGTTAACAACGATGATAATGTGAGTAGCTCCACAGTTCACTCGATGATTGAAATCTCCCCGTAGTAGAACATGTGTGGCAAGAGTGCTTTACAGGGAATAGAAATAATACAAAGCGTTTAAGCTAGTGAAAAAAACTTTTAACACTTCTTTACATTCAGTTTTACTTAATTTCGTTTGCTCACTAAGACTTTTTACAAGCCTTATTAGATGTAATCTGGCTTTTGACTTATTCACGAATTGGTCTGTCTGCAACGAGAACTTTCTAGAACAGAATTATCTGGATTATTGAAATGGTTTAGGGCTTCGGTTCACCTATTAAGCCCGCTCCATTCTATACAACTCCAACAGAGGCCATGTATTACACGAATAATTTCAAAGATTACGGTTAGTTCTCCTTTCACTGCATATGCAGACGATTTTCGACGAAGGTTTGATAGTTTCTGTTGCGGTTATTGTTGCTGTTCTCGTCACCATTGCTATTGCTGTTGCTGTTCTATCAATTTTTCCCGACAACGCAACCTTATCGCTCATTTGACAATTTCGAAACTTCCCAGAAGCTCACAACTTTATACCCACTTTACTGGGTACAAAACGACCAGTTTTCGGCTCTTATCTAGTTTCTATCCCCTTTAGCCTATAGGATTCCTAATGCCGAGAAGTTCATCTGAAAAAAAACACCGATGGTATATTTTTCGAAGCAATGGTTCTTTTCTAATTAAGAGCTTTTTCACGATTTTCCTAATCAAATCAGATTCACGGCTTTTTCACCTATTCTAATCGTTCTGGATTCTTTTACTCTCTAACCTGGAAAGTACATTTGAGCATCCATAAAGTCTTCCTTCAATTTCAGAACATTTCGAAATTTTTGGTGATGAAATCAGTGGCAGAAAACCACCAGAAGCAAATAAAATACCTTATAAAAATGTGTTATTGTCTGGAAGACATCATGTTTGCTAGAACCTAGTTAGGCTGAAAGTTCATCACGAACTTTTTCTACGCGAAGAAGAAAAACCTTTAGTAAATCCTGTTCAAAACAACACGCGATCTCATCAATCGACTGGCTTTATCAGAACGCTTGAAACGATTAGTTATTCCTTAGATCTGTACCAACCTCGCGTTAGCTTAAGAAGATCAGTTTATAAGATTACATAAATAAATATATCGATTAGTTATTGGGTTGTGCAAGTGCTTTTGTTAAGAACTTTAATAACACTACCTTGCGTAAGTACCTGACATCTTTTTCTGATTTTTAAAACGCTACATAAAGCTGCTGCCGTTCTAGGGCCGAACACTGTCAAAACAAATCAACAATTACATCTGGTATGTGTGACGGTAAGGATTTGAGAGACTAAAGAAGAAGAGTACCATAACAGGGAAAGCTGCTGCTGCGATTCGTTTCGGTTCATTGACTCCTCGGCTTGCTCAACTGCTGGCGCCTTTGTTTCTCTGGAGCAAAGGGTTATTTCGCATCATTCGCATTGATTACCCTGAGGGGAAATGAATGAAGCACGGGGCCGTGGGACTAGACAGCAAGCTGAAATGACTCACATCAGTGAATTATCACCGAATTCATTGTCAGACGTTCCGAAGTTGGACTTCAATGTGTTGGTTACACTTTTACTCGAAGCTATTGATGAATAAAATTCAATTTCACCTCTGCTAATTTTGTCTACTCCTTTATAATTGCATTTTATATGAAGTAATTTATTAAGTGTCAAGTGGGTTAAATTTTCGTGGTAAACTCCGATTCAATCCCTACTTCAGCTGGTTACATCATCAATCCGACAATGTATCAACCGTATACGTTACCAGCTACGACGGCTGCTTGTTCTGGCGGTGACGCGTCTTTCAACCAAATGATGGATCCGTCCATGTTAGGTAAGTGCAGAAGAATTACTGCCATATATAAAGTGAGGAATCGACAGTGTTTGTTTGAATCATTCTTTGAGCTATGGATTGAGACTATCGCTCTTCCAAGTGTCTTAGGCGATCGTCGTCTTCGTTAAAAGCTAGGAAGTGGGAAAAAGGCCTGTAGAGATTGCGATCACGAAAAGGCCGGCAGCAAAATAATCTGAGGAAAGATTTCAAATTTAAAAAAAGACTTTAAATAATTAGTATAGGCAAGAACACTTTTCTGCTGTATTTATGGTTTCACATGAGTCACTGAGTCAAACTATTTTTCTCTTTTATTGGCTTTTACGAAGTGCATCTGAGTGAACAAATCCACCAGTGAGATTTCAAGGTCGAAATTATGTATGTATAAAGGTGTTTCAAAAAAAAACTTTGAAGAGATTGTACTAAGTGAAGCGATCTTACTTTATCTGCCATTGGTAGCACTTTCCGGGGTCATCCATGAGGTTAAGGAATTGTTCAAGCTTTCATTTCACTGGGGAAACGTTCTAAAGGAACCAAAAACTAAACTAAAATCGATCGAGTAGTTCTTAAGTGATTTTTGCTCTGCTAATTTCCAACCATTTTCCCAACCATTGTCTTTCAAATGTTCGCGTGTTCGATCGATTCTCGCTATCTTCGCCTAAGATCTGTGTGAACGTTGAGGAGAGCTGTAAAATTCATATCAACATCCGCATTTACATCTTTGAAGAGGGAGCATTATCGTTATTTTATTATTTTAGGTCAAAATACGAGCACTGCACCGTTCTACAGTTCAACATTCAACTATCCGACATACGACTACTCATCACCGTTACTACCACGAGTGCCCGGCGGTTCAGCTTCAACAGCTGCCGGTGCGGCATGTTCGACAAGCACGTCAGGTTCTTCGAGCAGTTCCAACGGATCTGCTCACTCGACTATCGCTGCGCGGAGTAAGGCCCGAACCACTGCATGTGCGTAACGCGCCGCATGTACTGTACATTCATGTGCCAGAGAGTAGCCATAATTTGGTCAAGTGCCATATGTAAGGCGCTTTATGAGGAGCTTCCATCTTCGCTCAATTATTTTTTCAGTACTGGCATAGATACGGATGTATGTTTGCGGTGGTGTGTGTTATATATGTGTTCATGTGCGCCTTATAAGACGTGTGTAGCGTGCAGATAGAAGTGCCACACTTCTCACCAGTATACCCCTATATCGGTCACTGATTCATTCGAGCAGCCTAAGCTTAGCAAGCCATCTATCCATACAGGGTTGGAAAATTGGTACCAGCCATGTCTAGGAGGATGACAACACATGTATAAACATGGGTAAGTCATTGTGTAGGCTTGATAAGCGTTCAATCACTCTGCAATATTTGATGAACTCAAATACACGAGGCATCTCTTATGGATTGATCAAAGACGGACGATCTATCCTCTTAATCCCTATATGTGCGGAATAGTGCCCATAGTGTTTATTCCAGAACAGTAAGCACCAAGCATTTGTTGTGAATTTGTTGTGATGCATTTTCTTAGTACATTATCCAATATAACTGGTAAAAAAAGTTTTAGCCGAAGGTCGAGAATGTGTGAATTGCGGAGTGCAAGCGACACCGTTATGGAGGCGGGACGGTACTGGTCATTATCTATGTAATGCATGTGGTCTCTATCATAAAATGAACGGTCAGAACAGACCGTTAGTGAAGCCGAAAAAACGTCAGGCAAGTATTGTTACTCAGAAGCCAATAACTGTAGATCCCCCTTTGGGACTCAGCAATGAGTGTATGCTGACGTTTTTCATGAAGCAGTGTTGTTTATTCAAAAAAAAGTCGATCAGTCGATGCTTTATGGCGTATCTTCCTAGTTGATTATTACACTCTAAGGCGACGAAGAGCTCTTCATTCACGACATTTATGTGAAATGTCGCTCGTATAAATTAAATATATCTATCGATCACTTGACGAAAATCTAAATGAAATCCATATTATACTCTCCAAGCTTAACCACAAACCTCCCTCGGTCATCTTCTTAATCCGAGCAAGCCCTGTCGAAATCATCTCTACTTAGATGTCCAATACTATACTGTTTCATGCGAAATCTAGTCAGTTTTCTGCTCACTACTGTGACGAAACTGTTATTTGTATTTGAAAAGAAGCAGTGTCATTGCGGGCAAACAAACAGTCCATAGTACACCATATTCTTGTTGTGCGGACACAAATTGTTGCTTTATTCATTATTACTGTAAAGCTGACGTTTTTGGCGGATTTCACCTCCTTCAAACCCTGGAAAATTTAAGCTGACTCCAATCTATCCAACCAAACATCGCCATAGCCAAGCAGAGGAAACGGCACACCGAAATTTCAATCAGGCTCAAAATTTTCGAGATGAAGAAGTTATTCTGTTTTAAATGCATGCGATTGAAATCCTGGCTTAGCATTTTTTCTGTTTGGCTATGGAGGCTTTGGGCTGGGTAGATTGCAGTCAACTTGACTATTCAAGGCTCTGAAGAAGGCGAAATCTGCCGAAACGTCAGCTCTCCTATAAGGAACAAAATAACACCTCGTGTTTGCTCAGCAAGAATAAAGGGAATTATTTGATGGTTGTCGAGGTCAATAGAAATCCGTTCGTGGTAATTAGTACAAGTTCGCACCACATTCATCAGTCTGACATGTACTATGCCACCACCCTAGTCGAATGATTCGTTATCAGTCATTTTGGACAATGATTTATCAGCGTTCACTTTCAAATTCTGTCGACATATCTTTTCTATCTAATATGTCCAACAACAACAGATTATGACACCCGTCGCGCTTCCACTCACATCGGCCGCTGCTGACTGCAATATACGGTATCGCTCTTGCTTTCGGCGCTCTCCGCTATCACCACGCTCTCTCAAGAGCTAAGAAACAGGCTTCTCATACATAGTCACACTGTAGTCGATGACAGTACAGAACATATGGCAGCACGTTGTCGATTTACAGGTTTCCTTCAATAAACGGCAAAGCAAGACCGTCTACGCGGTAACATCGACACCGTTTTGAATGATAGATGTTCCTAAACCGAATTTCAGTACTTCAACAAGAAATGACTGATGATGAAAAATAACTGGGCCTGTAAGCTCGTCAAAACATACAATTCAAATAAAGTAAATAGGCTTTAGGGCAATAAACTAGCTGAGAAAGCCAAAATGCATGCCTCAGTGGTGCAGTGGGTAACTCGTGAGACCTTGGAATTGGTAGCGAGGGGTTCAGATCTGGGTTGGGACTTAAGTTTTTTAAATACCTTAGCTTTATTATAGTTATGTTTTACAACTAATAGTTGTTTTCGTATTTGGTTTTATTTCTTGACGAAAACTATAAAAATTGTTGTAAATGGACGGATGTTTTTTCTTTGTCAAAAAATCTTGATTTTACGATCGGTCCCTTGTTCTAATCAAAAACATTGGATTTTCGACAATATGTTTATTTGTTAGCGGGTGACCTCCAAGCAAGCCCATATTGATAATATCAGTCTCGTCAATTAAGAAATGCTATCCCTCCGATGATGATGGCGCAATGCACCTCCTCCCTCACGAGCGCTGTAACAGGTCACGACCTTATACGTCAGTCACCACCCCAAACGTGGAATACTGTAACGATTTGAAAGTGGAATGGATGGAGCGATTTTTTAACGGTGTAGAGAAATGTCTTGTCGCTAGTCGCTTTTGGCGGTATGACGGTATGATTCGATGCGATTCTGAGGCGACATGTCATGTTGGTGGCGGCGACGCGAAACGCGACACGATGACCATATCGCCTCGCTCATGCACGCTGTTAGATAGCGATCAGAATGGTCGTCGTGTTGTATGCGACCTTTTCGGAAGAAATTTCTCGTAAATCAACACCCTCCAGTTGGGAGATGCTGAGTGCCACACCAACCTTGAACGTGCCTTGGTCAAAGTTGAAGTAAGGCAATACGACACGTTACAGTCAACATCGCTCGTAGCTGATCAATACGGTTATATCCTAAAAGCGTAAGGTACTCTAATTTTGCGCAGTTTGATTAATCCAAAAATTCTAAAAACATAGAGTATTATCAGTGCCATTTCCAGTCCGCTCAGACCTCCAGAAACTCGAGTTGAGAAAGGCAAGCACTCATTTGTCTTGTCGTTCGTTGAGCACATACGTTGGGATTAAGTCACTCAATGGAAGATCAGAAAAACCTTACTTGTCTAGTTTAATGCTTTTTTTTGAGTACTTTTGGAGACTAGGTAGTCACGAATAACTTTCCTAGTTCCGTTATAGTAGAAGCTTATGTTTAACGAAACCCCTTGATGAGGATGTCGAACTTCTCCTCATCCAGGAGATTCTGATGAACCCATCGCTGCATATTCAGCTATCACACAACTAGCAGCACACTTTATCTATAGTGAAATGGTGAAAAAATAATGAAAGGTTTACCACGCAGATTTAACAATGCATTCACCACTGAACTATACCTATAGGCTGCGCTACGACTGGATCACTTCACACAATAATGTAAAAGTTACAAGTGCCTTGGAATTCAGATAAAACCTTGAACAAAGCTGATTTTTTTTATCAGATTATCTACTAGGTTTGCGCCTTCTGGAAGAGTTTAAAAATTTTTCAATAAAAATAACTTTATTGCAACGCTGCTCGCTTCTACAAAACTGTGCCAGTGATATAATCATTTTAACGGTTACAAGTTTATGGGCGCAGCGGAAAAATCAGGAGATAATTTATATTTATAAAAGAATTCTATTGAGAAGAATGAGCGAGTGTTAAAACTGCTTTGAATGCTCTCTAAGGAAACCATTGTGAACGTATTGAATAAGCGTTATCCGAATTCCGACTATTGGAATCTTTCTGTGAGCAGTTCACCGATTTTGCCTATTTCTTAACTCAACAGTGCTCACTTACTTATTTATTTATTTGTTAAATCAGTTTGCTATTCCGCAACGGCTCATCGTCATAACATGACAAACATGGGTGTTGCCTGTGCTATCAAGCACGCATTTACTACAGACGCTCATCTCCTGATTGCTCACCAAACGAGTAGTGAATTCAGACCAAGAGCTGAGATCACCATAAACCATACAGAAAGGGGTAATTCTTCTTCGATTTACCGAAGGTTTCAGATGCACTGTTGCCAACATGGAAACATTGTGGTACGATCTCATAAGATGTTCAAGATGAAGAATTTTTCGTGTCCATAAAAATACTGCCCGTATGGAACTTGCGATAGATTTCCTATTATTTCTGCAAATGCAGCCTATTATACAAGCAGTAATTTGTTATTTTTTTGTTTTAGAGTGCGCAGAAGCGAACTGGTGTGGCTTGTGTGAATTGCAAAACGAATACGACCACGTTATGGAGACGAAACGGTGGTGGTGAGCCTGTGTGCAACGCCTGCGGTCTCTACTACAAGTTACATCAGGCACGATTAAATTCTAACTATATTTTCTCCTCTATATTTTTTTTCTATAATTTTAATAGTGTCGGCTTCCTAAACGCCTTTTTTATAAAAACGAATTTTTATACTTTCACCTTCAAGAACCCCCAAGGGTTTAGCACTTCGTCGTGGCTGAGAACTGCTCCTGGATGTCGGACTGCGATGTACAGCGGTGGGATCCATCCCATGGCAGGGTCTCCCAAGTTGAGAAGGAGTTCGAAGTTTCCATCACGAAGCCTAGCTAACAGTAAATTAATGCCAGGATTTACCATCGCCCTGGTATCAAAGTGGCATAGTGGTAAATCTCTCTCTGATCCACAAGGGCTGGGACTGCCTGTGGTGGTGAAGACCTGGGGCAGACTCTGGCCAGGCTGACCTCGGGATTCCAGAGAACCACAATGGCTTAACCAGCAAATTTCCGAAAAGTGGAGGTTGTGCTGGCGCCCGCACAATTAGTGAGGCGGACCATTCAAGTATCAAGTAAATAAGTACCTCCAAAAACAGGCTTTCCAGCTTCTATTAGACCAACTACCCACCGGCTTGATACAATTTCCTCGTAGCAAAGGCGAAACTAGTCGGTTAGCTATCAAACGAATCGTATTCGTTGAACTGCAGCGTTTTTTAGTGATTCGCCGAAAATCAGACATTCTTTGCTAGTAAAAAAATTCTGGCGACACTAGCTTGATAATGGATTCAATTTTGCTTTAAAGAAAATTGAAAAAAGGAGAAGGATAAAAAGAAAAGACGGTTGTATTTGGTTCAGTCAATGAAAGCCCTTGTATATTCGCCTATACAAGCATAGACAATTGGAACCACAAGACAATAAGAAACTCACACTCTTGGGTTTATTCCTCATGAGAAGAAGAAAATGACAAAACACAATAAAAACATTCTATGTGCTGCAAAAAAAGAAACACGAAGATGAGCATGTTTTCACGTCTAGCCCATCGATGTTTTTTAAGAGCTTCCCCTCTTCTGTAACAGCCACGGACAGGCAACGAAAGCATTCCTAACGTTGTGCAGTCGTTTAACGTTGCAAGCTGTAATATGAGTTTATGTGAAATAATAAAAATTATTTCCGCTCTGAGCAATTATTTCTCCTACTTAAGTCGAAACTTCGATGGAGAGCTTTGAAGTGAAACTAAAGCTTTAGAAGGTTCCGGAACAGCAAGAGGCACCAGTATAATATGTATACATATACATATATACATGTACGTGTTTATAAACGTACTACGAGTTTGATAGAAAACAGTTATCTCAGGTACGAAAAAAGTAGGAGGCAGAAACAGCTTGTGGTATGGTTGACCTTTATCCCATCATGAGAACTTCTGCGCTACCATGCCTAATTTAGCTACATGTCTTGCCATGAATTTCTCGTTTTTTCAAAGTTCGTTCCTATTTCCTCATCTTTCAACCGGTTTCCGAAAAAATTCAAAGATCGCCAGCTACTTTTGATGTACTGACTAGTTGACAATGTTTAGTGTAACTTCCCTAGCACAGTAACTACACTTGACGTATTGGTACCCGTAACCTAGCCTAAGCTGTATCCGGCATGATAATTTGATTTGTGACGCGTTTATAGCACTGAGTCATGTATCGAAGCAAAGATGCCGACATTTGGTATGTTACGTGAGATCGAGATCGCTACCGATAAGCGCCAATCTTTACCTAAGCGTTTACCGGCCACTCGTTCGCATGCCGATATCGCTTAGCGACCAACATGTCCACCGTCTCGAACACCTGCTGCCATTTAGTCTGCAAGCAGTTCATTTGTCGTGCGATATCCCATCATGTCAGTTGATCGCGTTGTCTTTGAACAGTTGTCGTATTTCAGGTGGAGCGACCGCTAACGATGAAAAAAGATGGCATTCAGACACGAAATCGAAAAATGTCCAGCAAGGGCAAGAAGCCAAAGGTTTGCTGTGATCACATTTTGGTTTCGAACAAATTTCCACAACCATCTTAAAGACAGTCAGACATTAGATGGTGCCTACTAGAATTAATCTGCTCTACTCGTCGAGTGGTCGTGACCGTTATAACAATTCATGGCAAGATTTTGTCTAACATTGGGGTGAACTTATTAAATTATATTCATGGCATGGCTTCACACCACACTTTTTTATTCTAATGAATTCACAAACTTGGCAGCAGAATGGTCATAATGGAATCGGCTCCATTCATTCGAACATAGTGCGCTAATTACAGGTTGACGATCAGAACAGTTGGGCTGACATAAAACCACCGCCGATGTACGACATGAAGTTGATGCCAGCACCGTATTTTGCCGGCCAACCGACCTATCCGACAGGGCTGTTCTTTCAGCAATAGCCGACCGTGCTCACACAGTATTCTCCCTCCCTCCACTAGTACAGAAATGTGTGAGAAGAAGAGCAGTTCGGTCACATACGGATTTCATCTGACGTTTTTGCTGAGTTTTAAGACAGCATGTAAGGCTTGATGCTGTTCGTATGTTTCCGGTTGCACAGTGCAAACCATACGCACACAAACATGCACAACAGACACAGACAATACATACATGTAAATACAGACACATTGCGCACATATTTTCTCTGTGCTTGTATATATATATATACATATATATATACATATATATGTATATATATATATGTATATACACATATAAGCGCACAGAAGTACACCACACACATGTACACACGTACATACATGCACACATACATACGTACACACAATTCACTTGCTCTCCTAAATATTCTAACATGTGCCTCTTCATACTTTGCCTATGTGGTAACCATTCCCGATACTCCAACAGAATTGTGATTTTGTTTCAGTCATCGTAACTTCTTGGTTTTCGTAAACCATCGTGGGTTCCATTCGATTATGAGCAAACATTTTCTCAACATGATCTATCTCCGCCTACTGTACAAAGTGGCCTATTTATTAATGAAACAATGTATCTTAATTTCTTTGTATGCACGTATTCCTTCTAAAGATTGGGTATTGGCTTTCGTTCGAATTGTTTTATGCTCTAACTTGTTGAGAAGTTTTTTCCAAGCGCAGAAAGAAAAGGCAAAGAGCATAGTACGGTGCAATAGAGTATCCTAGAATCACTATAGATCCGTGAAGATATTCCTTTAAAGCCTCTAAAGTGATCCGTATTGTTGCAAATACATATTGATTGTGATCCATCTTTTTGTATTCTTTTTTCTTCTGAGTTTTAACATCAAAAACGTGATGTCTTGGTGTTTCTTTGAGATTTATGCCATTATTTTGATAAATTATTTCATGACGTCTCAACTTAGTTCTCTGAACACACAATCACAGTAAGGACTAAAGGAGACTAGTATATTGAGGATTATTGTCGAACTAGTTATGGTGACAACTGTTTCACAGAGTACAAAGTTTTATAGAATACCTATAAGTAAAAAATGTATTCTGTTATTTAGTTTCACGCGCTTAAAAGGGAACATTTTTCTTTTGAGTACGGCAATCCAGACCCCAAACTGTACTTTATTGGCGCTAGTAATCAGGCAAGAGGTTTTTCTTTGGAGTCTTGAGAAAATCATGCTAGGCAACTCCTAATCGTCACCACAACAGCTAGTAACCGAGTTTCTTCGTAGGTGTTTAATCTTGACACTAAGTTTTTTCTATGTCTACGGCGACCACTAGCGCTTGTTAGCTTTCAGTATGACTTATAGGAGCGCTGATCTTTGTCGGAATATTGACCACTTTACTATAGCCAATGGCGAACTGTTGTTATTCATTATAGCGCTACATCCGGCAGCACTCACTGACCATGATCAGATGTTAAAACATTAAGTAATTCTTCCGACTTTCATGCTCAACGACAAGGATGAAGTGGGGATGGTAAAAAAAAAAAAAGCCAGAGGTGCCCATTTCACTTAACTCATAAGCGTTAAGGTACAAGTATTTATTGTTGCGAAAAAAGTAACTTTTGTCGAAACTTATTCGGAGTTTCTCCTACTTTGCAAGTGTAATTATTATCATTTATTATTATTTATATTATATTTATTATATTATACTTATTAAATTATGCTTATTTGTGGTATTTATACTATTATTAAATTATATCCTTGTCCGTTCCTGAAAGCTGAGCTACGTCTGGTTTGAACGGTTGCGAAATAATTCCGATGTCCAAATGGAATTTCCTGCACGACTTCCGATGTGACCACTTGAGTGAATGTGCTCCATATATATTTATATTTGTATATAAGAATGTGTGTTTCTGTGTAACAAGTGTATTTTGTTCTCACAGTTAGCCTGCCAATGTTTTCCACGTCTTCTCTTAGCAGTGATAGAAAAAGACGAGAGAAAGCAAAAACGCTACATGGAGCTAACCAAAGTTCATGCTATTGATGCTTTTTCATCAACGCGGAAAGCATGAAAAAGCGCTCGAACGGGTGAGGAGCATTATCGCTGGAAAAGTTTGCTCGCAAAAAAAACCCACACCGATCGAAACTGCCGGGCGAGTTTGGCTTGCTGTGGGTGTCGGCCAGCAGGGAAGACCGTCGGGACTGAGGACGAATGGAGTAACGAGCTATTACTCAACGGTGGCCTGGTTATGTGCTGCACACGTGGAATTCCCAGGGCAGTCGAGCGCCACAAGCGACGATATCAGATGGAAGCTGACAGCAAAACGTTAACATTGCCGTTTGTTATGAGAATTGACAGAAAGCCGCTTATATTTTCACGCTTATGACGAAACGTTAGGAAGAAAAAGATGAAGAGATGATTAATCTTTTTCTCTTGGTAATGACGGTGATGCTGTAAGAAACAGTCTCGGTGGTTTCAAAATCATCTGTTTACTTTCTAGAACTTTGAAATTAGGTTCATTCAGTGAAATGATTCATTTTTTCAAACATCACATTAGTTTTCATAAATTTATTCCATTATAATGACAGAAAAGAAAGGGATCTTACTAAATTTTGCGCTTGCTGTTTTTACCCATCTAACAATAAGGATTCCTCTAACATTCTGTCGTTTTGGTTATCTCTGTGTGAGTTTCCTTTTCTCAGATGTTTCAAATAATCATACCGTTATTATCATTATTTTAACAATTCTTGCTTGCTCTTTACTTTTTCTGCCTCTACAGCTATTTCCTATGATTGTTATACAAATCCATCATGAAGCGTATTGTGTGTAGCTTTAGAACTGCACGAGTTAGGACAAAGAACTCAATTAAGTATTAGAATAGTATGAATAAGAAGCAGATCATCACCAATGTCCTAATGGATGTCATCAACCAATTTTTAGTAAGAGTCGTGTAGATGAAATATTTCATGACATCTCAGAACGGATGTATCCACGCTTCAATGGCAGTTGTGCTCTATACACACACCACACACACCACACACACCAACACCACCCATCGCACTTAATCATACACATCTCTATCCATTTATCATCTCACTCCCAAACTGCACAATTATTTTTTAGTGCAAAAAAGCAAGTCGGTCGTCTGTTTCGTTTATCTCATTGCATGATTTATGCGCACAGCAATTGCCTCGCACTCACTGCTTGCTACCACTTCGTCTACCATCTCAGCTGCAGGAGTGTCGACATACACTGTACGTGATTGTGAAACGGCAACGTTCTAAACACAAACCATATGAGCTCATATCCAGAACTTCGTAGTTTTGAAACATACAAGGCTCGGTCACATATTTGTGCCTCACTGGTATTGTGTTAGCCAATTTCTTCAAGGTAGTCGTAAGTTGTAGCACTATTCTGTCTAGAGCAGAAAGTTGCCTATCATGGTTATCTAAGAAAGTTTTTGAGAGTTTTCACTGAGCTACTTTCCAGTATTGAGGCGATTGCCTGCAGAAGTTTATCTCCGCTCTGGGATGAATACTTCACGCATTTCCTCATTTACGAGGACATTGCTTTGAGATCAATGGCTTTCTGTATATGAACATTCCACAGTTCTACGCCATATTCCTAGACTACAACAATGCAAAATAAAATCTAAGGTATTTCATTTCTGAAGTAAAAATGATTTCTTGTTTTTTGCATTTTTGCACTTCTTCACTAATTACCGATTATAAGTCCATGCTGTTGTGCAACCAGTCCACCTGACCTTCGATGACTTCCCCGATGTGACAACGTAGTTGATCTTCGATCAGAGTTGGACCTAATGTCCTTGCCTATGAGGACGAATGTGGTTTTTAGCTTTCGCTGTGGTTTTATTGGACTATGGATATTAGCAAAAATGGAACTATCGATATTCCATTGAAATTTCCTTAATTAAAATTTAGTTACACAGTACAACTATAACTCGGCGAACGACATAGTATATAAAACAAAGGGTGATGCGTAAATGAAAATCTAAGAATGTTCGAAGAGCTCGAGTTCAAGAAGACTTCGGATTGGTCTGATCTAAATATGGTCCAATTAATAGTGCTAGGATGTTATCTCTAAATGTCGCAAAAGTGAATTTACTAACAAACATTAACGAAGTTCTTCCAGAGAGACTTTGGAAATCTGCCTGTTCACTATGAAAAGTAACCTTTTTAAATAAGTAGACGTTAAGAAATGACAAGAAATCTTCACCTACAGTCCCAATACGATAAGCACCGCTGTGACAGGGTTTGCTTGCTGGTTCTTTCAATGCGTTTAATCCTGATCTGATTCTCCTGAAACGATTGCTTGTAAACATGTTGAAAACTACTATTAATTCCCAAAACCGACTTCTCATTAACCTCGGCGGTGAGTATGCGATTAAGCTAGTTTTGTTTTCATTGTTGTTGAAATCCTGGTTTCATGAGATTTTCGTTTTGGTTATGGAGGTGTTAGGCTGGGTAGGTTGTAGTCAACCTGACCTTTCAAAGCTCTATAGAGGGCGAAATCCGCCGAAACGTCAGGTTTTTTTTCGTCAAAGAATAATGTAACAACGTCATGTTTGCTCATCAAGGAAGCAGTTAACTACAATTGGTCTTGTAGTGATCAAAATAGAAGGAACTCTTAGAAAATTCCCAGAACTTTGTCTATTCACTGACCCATTGAATAAGAAAACTTTCCTGTTGAGTGATTGGCTGGTGATGTTTTAGAGTAGTAATAAGCTTTTGGTTAACTAATAATGTGAAAACGGGAAAAAGTTAGGTTTCTAGCTCGACGAATATTTTGTAAATGACTAGTGATTAAATAGAAAATGAGTTAAATATTGCGTTTTCGACTGCGGCCTCAGCTTAATTGGATTCAACGCCGATTTATGCTACCCAGCTCACTCCCGTTGACAGATCTTTACTGATGGCAGCGTTACGGTGAAAATCTACAGAGGAAGTGGCAAAATAGGCGCGTCGGTGGTGCAGTGGATAACACGTGAACCCCCAGAAAAGACAGTCGTTAGTTCAAATCCGGAATAGATTGCTGGTTTTGCAAGTACGTCAGCATCATTGTGCTAGCATTTTACACAGCACTTCCCATGGAAGATAATAAGAAGAAAGTAAAAAGGTAAACATTATCTTGTAAATGACTATTATGATGGTCAGCAAAGCCACTAGATCTATGAAATGTGTCTGAACACGGAGCTATCGTGTGATATCACGATCACCAACAAACGGCAGTGCAGTGCAGAATACCAGCTTACAACAAAAAAAAACAAGAGATTTTCCGTGCTTAACAAAGTGTAACTCTTTTTAAATGCTTTTTTGTTCTACTCAACGTACTTCTTCCTTAGTGGAATAGCTTTGGATTTGTTTATGGATGGCAACCGCTACTCATTCATCTATCATCAAAGAGAAAACTTTATGCACGTCGAAAACAGCGAAAGCGATATCTGTATAAAAAGAATGATAAAGCTCCGGAGCTGATCAACCCCTAAGGGATGCGCTAAGCATTCGACTTCATTAATCATCGCTCGAAGCAAGTGAATGCATATCTGGCCTTTACAATGATTCGCGGTGACCTACTGATCTGCTGAGCCAGTACTGTTATCCTCCCAGGCAAGTTTGGTACCAATTTGCCGACCCCGAAGGGATGGAAGGATTGGTGAGACTGGGACGAAGATCGACCCCATGTGTATTGCAGGGCACCTCCGGCCACTATGTCACACATGTCTTACCCTTACCTACATATGGTCATGCAAAACGTATAGACCGATCACACTAGTGTAAATTTTTACGTGAAGAAAAAATTAATAGGTATATGAGAAGTGCTATAGGATGTATTAAGGAACATAGGATAAAGCGCTCGTTGTTAATCGGCCCCATATGTTCCATCCATTCGGCGTTGTAGAGGTGGTTGATTGGCTATTTACACTGTACATTGACTTATGGTGGCCTATCGATTTATCAATCGATTTTTATCCAAGAAGGTAAGCCTTGTACCAATACCTCAACTCTAGAGAGGTATGAGTCAAGTTAACCAGGAGCATCGGATAGGACCAAGGACTACGTTCGCTCTGCAGGTACCCTTAACTACTGCCTTATTTAGTACGTATACGACACCATAATTTTAGGTGCAATGAGACACACTTTGACTGACGACGTATTATGTCCTCATACATCGTGACTGTCTAATCGACGCTCGATCAATATTTAAATGCACAATAATCATCTAGCTACAGTATATTCTGTCAAAGCAAGGCACTGACCGATTCCGCTGTTGTTTAGCAATGCGCCGAGAATATCCTGCATCACCGTTCCGTTCGTGTTCACATGCACTTTAACCTACTTCCCTTCTTCTAACGGGAATCAGTATGACGTCGTCAGTGAAAAGTGTTTTTGCTCTTTTGTTCACTTCGGCGACTTATTGATTAAGAATAGAACACATTTCTTCGTATTCTGATGTCTCTGACGCATCCAATGTCTTCGGGGTGCTCTTCTTGTTTCTTATCGTCCGTTCATCATAGATCGCAATCTATTGCCTCGACGAGTCAACCAACGACTCGCAATGACGAACATTCGTGTTCAGGTGCAAATCGACATCTATGCTAAGGGATCTCTGAGAAACTCTTACGCCCACATCATCAGGTTATCTGTAATTGATACTGGTGCTTAAAGAGGAACACCTCAGGCCAATAATATAGCTACAGATGATATTAATGATAGTTGGTTGATTCGTTACAGTACGACACTCATCGCAACTACAACGATTGTCGAATTATTATGGCGCTGATTTTTTCCATCATTCTGGTTTTTAGTTTCATCAGTTCACTTTTTCCTTCAAAGAAACGTCAAGCCTTTCAGACTTAACAAAGAACAATTTCAAACTTTCTTTCGAACTTTTAATTTGTTTCATTTGTTCACGGAATAGTCTCGGTGCAACTTGCCTGTTGGACGATAACTCAAAGCAAGGGCGTGTATGGAGCAGTGGATCGAGGCACCCTACAACAGCACGCGGAACCGATCCCTGTGCCTATGGCCCACCAAGCCTTCCGTCCCACTGGGGTCGGCAAATTGGTACCAGACTTGTCTGGGAGGATAACAGCACTGACTCGATACATCGGTAGGCCAACGCAGGTCATTGTAGTGGCCAGATATACACTCGATCGCCACCAAAAGATGCTAAATAAAGTCGAATGCATAGCGCATTCCTTAGGGATTGATCAACGCCGAAAGTTTTATCCTTTTTAAATCAAAGAGATGAAGACATTAAAGGAATACGTATAGTACCGTAATCAGTGGTCGCAAAACGTACAGTGCACGAATTGCGATTGAAGACATGAAATGCGACAGGAATACCAAGGCGTTTCTAGTTTCTGGATTTATTTCGAAAGTTTCCGCATCTTTTTTTATTAATGCAGTAATTGTTTAACTTAGGTTACTTCAGATTCTTCACGGTGTTCTAACTCTGAGGGATTGGTCGCCGAAAACACACCTCCCTCTGACCCACATCGTGGTGAAGACCTGGATGCGCCCTTGCAAGGTTACGTCAGGACTCCAGGGAGGACCAAGTTACACGATCAGCAATAGACCAGCCTCAGTACCTCGCACACTGGGTGCTCCCGTCTATGACGTCAGGCGATGAGACGACCTGTGAGAGGCCAGAAAATCTCGGGTTACGCAGAGAGTTATTGGAACCTAATTTGACGAACACACGCACGACACGCCATGGAGACTGTTTCTTAATCTGCACGTATAATGCCAGAACACTCTCCACAGACGCCGATCTTCACGCCCTTCTTGTAGCCGCAGATCGCATTAAATTTCATGTGATCGCATTACAAGAAACAAAAGTCAAGAAAACCGACATGCGCGAACTAAACAACGGGACCCTTATGATTCGTGGAGGAAAGGTCTCGTCACGAAATGTCGGAGGAGTAGGCTTTGTCGTCCACCCGTCCATTGTCCATCTCGTCGACTCATACGTGATCCTTTTTCCTCGCATAGCCGTCCTCCGTCTTCAACTGTCGCATCATAAGAAGATCACTATCTTCAACTGCTACTCACCGATCGACTCAGCTGATGAGTACGAATTAAATGCGTTCTACTATCAGTTGGAGGAAATCATCCGCAATGATAAAGTATATCATAAATTTGTTGTTCGAGACTCCAACGCCAAAATAGGAAAGGCCATCGAGAGCGAATACAGGATCGAAAATTTTGGATTAGGAGAAAGAAATGGGAATGGGAACCGTCTCGCAGGACTCTTGTCGGCAGCACGTCTCTTCCATGGAAACTCGTTTTTCCAGATGAAAGAAAGCCGCAGCTGGAATGAAGGGACTCCCAACGACATGACTCGTGTGGAGATTGACCATATTCTGATAAACAGAAGATAGTACCTACTTGACACATCGGCAGTCTCTTTATTCTGTACTGGTTCCGATCACCGCCTTCTTCGCGCGAAGATTCGATTCAGTAGCAAGCTGGAAAAGAACTTTTCCTCATCGACCATGAGGAAAAAGTCTAGCTGTATACGACGAAAACATTTTGAACGAAGTCGTGTCCAAACGTAACTACAGATTAAAGAAGACTCGACCGAAGACTACGAGCTGCTTGGCGAAGGGCTGAAAAACTGTTGAACTCTCCTCAGTTCTCAAGCAAGAAGATGGGATCGCATCTCCATCACTACTAAGGAGTTGCTCGAAAAAAGAAATAAATTGAAGCTTGATCCTTTCAGCAACACGTTTAACATGGCCAGCAATAAATGCCAGCTGCAGAAGAGCCTTGCAAGATCTACAACGGTACAAGCAAAAAAAGAGTACTGGAAGCGGTAGAGAAAAGAAGCAGTCTGGAAAAACTTAAAACTCTCGAGGCACTCTGGATTAATTCTAGAAATCCGAAAATGAACCGCAGGGAAGAATGCCTCATTATCACGCGTGATATAGGGCAGTATATAAAACTGCTATTCTGATGGGAGGGGCACATTATGCTTCCATGTGATTTCTGTGCGGTTGGTCTCTACGTGACATACTTAGTGGAAACCTCATAGAAAGCGGTGAGTGTGCAAAGCTGTGTTCAAAGTGATTGAAATCTTGGTTTGGGGTTTCTTTGTTTGGTTATGGAGGCGTCTGGCCGAGTGGATTGCTATCAACTTGACCTTTCCAGGCTCTGAAGAAGGCGAAATCCGCCGAAACGTCAGCTTAATCGTGAATAAAGAATAGTAACACCTCGCGTTTGCTCAACAAAAATACGAAGTCTGGAAAAATTCCGTCGGGACTTGTGTGACTATAATGTTCCACTATCAGCCCTGATAAACGAAAATGGGATGTCAAAACTTCTCGCCGTGATATGGAATTAATAGTGGAAACGTTCTACGCCAACCTTTTCCTTTCTACAATCCCTGTCCCAGGTCCTAATATCCCCCTTGGAGAAAAGCCACCTGGAATTCTTCTGTCGGAGGTTCGGGATGCGACAGAAAACATGAAAAGAGGCGCAGCTCCAGGACCCGATAATACCACTGCCGATTTCCTTAGAGCTGGAGGCCAAAGTTTACATGTGCTCCTCTCAGATCATATGACAGACTACCTTCAAAAGGAAAAAATTCCAGACCAGTAGAAAACGTCGTACATGGTCATCCTGCCCAAGAGAGGAGACCGAAGGAATGTTCGTAACTATCGTCCCATATGTTTGTTAAGTGCACTCTATAAGCTCTTCGCCAAGATTGTCCTCTCGCGTATACCCAGAGCATTGGTTGAGGCGCAACTAATCGAGCAAACAGGATTTCGAAAAGGATTTTGCTACATGGACCACATCCAAACCGTGTCCAGAATCACTGAAGTTTGTCAAAAATACGAATTGCCTCTAGTACTAACCTTTGTCAACAATTAGAAAACGTTTGACAGTGTGGAAACGAATGCAATTCTACCAGCGCTCGTCGACAAAGGAGTGACCCGTCCTACATAAGGTCTCTGTCCGACTGTTACCGGAACTGCACTACAAAAATACAGCTTTTCCACTAACTTCAGCCCTCTTACAATACCCATAGGAAAAGGGGTTCGACAGGGCGACACGATATCGCCAAAGCTGTTCAGTGCTGCACTGCAGTGGATAATGAAGTCACTCGATTGGGATGAGAAAGGCATACGTATTGATGGAAAATTTCTATCAAACCTCCGTTTTGCCGACGACATTGTCATCTTCTCAAAAAGTACTAGTGAAGCAGAGGTGGTGATCAACGGGCTCAACGAAGTGGGGAAAAAATCGGACTTCGCATAAACGGAAAGATGACCCAGTTTATGAGAAACCCATGGTGTGAAGGCGAAGAAATTATTTGGATGGCTCTCTCCTTGCAGAGACTACCTCGTACGTTTAATTTGGGCAATCAGTGAACATGAAGACATGAACGAAAAACTAGATAGAAGAAGAGCAGCTTGGGCCGCATTCGGGCCTTTCAAAGAAGCCACCGACCAACTGAAGGATTCGAAAATCCGCGCTCTTTGACTCTACGGTCTTCCCAGGGCTCTGTTGCGCTGCAGAGACGTGGGTTGATACTTCAACTATGTCAAGAATGCTTCGAACTACTCACAGAGCGCTTGAGCGATGTCTTCTGAAATGTAACCGGCATTCTCAATATCTAGCCGGTATGCGAAGCTCTGACCTTCGAAATCTGTCACATCTTCGAGATCCAGTAGAAAATACATCGACAGCGGAACATAAATGGGTCGGTCACATAAAAAGAGGAATAGACGATAGATGGACGAAAAGAACAGTAGAGTGGACTACAAGAGAATGCAAACGTCTCCTTGGACGACCACCTACACGTTGAGTGGACGTGTTCGTAAACAATGTTAATCAGCTGTACCCTCAGCTGCAGTTGTTTTACAGATCACGGTATCTCGCAAGCGCTAGCATGCTCGAACAAGACCACCACCATGGACTACGATGGCGAGAGAAAGGAACGAACGGCATATCTACTGGGGTCCGCACAGCTCATGAAGACGGTCTGTCCAAGTATTCAAATAAGTAAGTAAGTTTATCTTAACATGTATGAAAGGAAGAGAAACAAAAACGAAAGCGTTAATCATGTATCTAGCGTTTGGTACAACGTTCACAGTTATGCTCCCAACATCACCTGTAGTTTACTACCTCATTTTAATTTAAAGACTTTTCTAGGTGTGGAATTGTGATGTGCGACAGAAATATAGCCAACATAGGCGGAGCACTAAGACATTCATCTTCCCCTCTTCCATCTCAAATTTAGAAAAGTTAACCGTGAAAGGGTTTAGCAAAGTAGTTGTGGTAACGATTCGATCAAGAACGATAGACGAAAAACCATCAGTATCCTGAAAACCGACTTTCAGTAAACATCGGTAACAATAACCATCACTTTTGAATATGACTGAGTTGACACGAAGTTGGTATAAAAACTTCAGCTAACGCTTCGGCCAATAACGTCGCGCTTACTTAATCATATAGAAAATTATAGAAAGATATTTGAAATTTTCGGTACTCTTCGTAGTTTTTCGAGCCAATGGAGCTCATTGATTGGCTCTCATACGTGATGAAGATAGATGAAGAGTTTAGTGCTTCTCACTCGAAGTACTCGGCAACTCACTGGGTTAAAACTGGAATAGAAAACATACTAATATAATGCGATAGTGTTCAATAAAGAAGTATTACCTAACAATTATTAGAGTGGGAGGGAAAAAGATGAGAGCATTTCTGCCCATGGAATGTGGGAGTTCGTTATAAAAATTATTGAAATTCACTTGTTAGACTTTTTTAAATTGCGCTTTACTTTACTTACTTTAAAGACTTTGCCGTAGGTACTCTTACTTTTTAGATTGGCAGACGGGGAATTTCCTGCTCTCGCCATTTCGACATGTCGATTTTCTCCTGGAAATCCACATAAAACAGTGGTCAGATGTCAAAAGAAAATGAAATATTGGATCGCTTTAGTTGTCAAATAGTGGTTTGTTTCAAATTCCTTGAGAAACAGGTAAAAAAATTATCGAAATTACTTTGTAAATGTTCTCCTGTTGAAAAAATCTGGGACGTTGTGATGTTATTCTACCCACCCGAGCCGGTCTTCCTTAAAATACGGCAAGTCTGACTCGTTATTTTCTGACCACGTGAGAATTTCAATCTGAATGATGTTGAAGAGCCATTGAAACCGGAGATGAATGGTGCTCACAGAGTCATCATTGCTTTCTTTATTTTTATTCAGCGTAAAGCAATGGAGCCAAATCAAGATAACCCTAAAGATGCCTATTTTTATTTCACTAAATGCGTTACTGCAACCCTGAGAAAACTCACGTCGCAAGCAGCAGACTTTCGTACGATCCACAAGTGACGGCGACTATTTCGATGAATGGGATGACCAGGGAATGGCGTGGTGCGCCCATTTTGGGATTCTAAAAAAAAGCCGCTTACCATCAGCCTTAAGTGTATTATCGGGACGTTAGGACCAGAGTTTCTCTATTCAAACTGAAACTCGTACAGTTGAATAAAAACTTGTGCTGTGGATTGAATGCAAAACAACGAAGTAAATGAAGAATATGTTATTCTCCACGCGTTATGTGAAGCTAGAATATCTAACTACCTAATTAGATACGATGATTTATTTAAATGGATATTCTGAAGCATCTACATTTTCAGCCCATCTAGAAGTCGTTCCTGACAGTTGGACGGATTGTGGACTTGAAAAAGTGTATTGTTAGTAGCCAGTTAGAAATTCTGATTTGTTCAACGAATGGACCATTGTTCCATAAACATCGGTAACCACCATACGACTGCTGCTCTTAGTTACAATTGATTCTAAAACTCACAGAAAAAGCATTCATAACATTTATTTGAAAAGTAGTATATTAGACTGGAAATGAACCCTCCCCTTTGGTTCAAAGTAAGCCGGTCTCGATAATTCGGGGTGTCAGGCAACTTTTAAAACCGGATTCTCTTAAACCTCATCCTTCATTATAAAGTTCCACTGTTCTTAATCAGCCATCATTAAGGCTTTTTTATTAAGTTGCTCGTAATCTTCATGCGTCTTTGCGTCTTTACTTGCGCAGATACTCGGGTGGCTCGCTTTCACTGGTTGTGCGGACCCCAGAAAAATTTCTATTCTCCGAAAATTTGCTGGTTCAGCCGTTGTGATTCCGTGGATACTCGAGAACGGCCTGGCCAAAGTCTGCACCAGATCGACACCACCACAGGCAATCGCCACCCTTGTGAATCAGAGGGAGATTTGCCACTATGTGTCTAGTTTGGTACCAGAGCGGTGACAGATCCTGGTATTAGTTTATTCTTAGCTGGGTTTCCTGATGGAAAGGCCGGACTTCTCAGCTTGGGAGACCCTTCCGGGAGCGTGATTCGTCTCGCCGTGCATCACAGCACAACA